TTAATAAGCAATACAATTAAATTAAACAAATAGAAGACATGGAGTATTGAAAGCTAAAGACAGTAATAAAAAGCTGTATCTGTAGAACCACAAGTAGAAAGAACAGTAAAAATCAAGGTTTGAACATACAGCAAAAGCTGTATTTACTGAAATACTGGGAAGTATTTCTCATTAAATGAATTTTCACTTTTATGCCATTGGTAAACATCTGTGTGATGCCAGCTCACGGTAAGCAAAAAATAAATTCAGCAAACAGGTGGAAAACCCAATCACAAATAGTCTTACAAGCTATCAAAGTAGAGAGACGTGTCAGCACACACATATCCACGTACGTCGAAAATCATGAAAATTAGACATCTCGGCGGTACAAGAATTAAAGGATCTCAGAAGCTCCAGCGTGCTGCCACTGAATAATTCTTTTTTTAAACTGAAAGAGCAATAAGAAAGAGACTTTAAAAAAGGAGGGGGGGTGTACAAGAGGGAGGGTGCTGCACAGACTCCCCTTTTCAGTGCATGCTCCTCCGGGCAAGCACCTCCTGCTCCGCAAGCCCCCGCTCCCAGCCCCGGCACGCAGTGACTCCGCCGGTAAGGGCTCTCCACGCCCGAGGAGCTGCCCTCCGCGTGGCTTCAGCGGGCAGACAGAAACCTTTTCTTGAAGGGGTCTGTGCATGGACGTGCCTGTGTGCCTGCTCTACCAGCGGGTCCCTCCCTCCGAGAGGTCCTGCCGGAGCGGAGGTCCTTCCCCAGGTGCAGTCAGTGAAACCAGAGAACTGTCTTTAAGGATTGAGATTAAGAGGCGTATTCAGGACCAGTGACAATAATGATATTTACAGAGCACTGCAAAAACCCTAGCAAGAAATAACCTTAAACCCATGTCCAGAAAGTCTGGGCTAACAAATGGAACACTTTTTTTCTAAGAAAGCTACTTCTGAGAAAGCTCCCGGCTAACTTCGGTACGTGAGAAAAGTAAAAACCCCTGTAGGGTGGCAAGCCTGAGGCACACACCGCAGCCCGAAGCTCCAAGCAGCAAACCAGGCCAGCGCACACGTAGCTGCAGGAGGATTTCGCAGACAGGCGAACGCGCGCACTCCCACGCCAGCAGCAGCCGGGGTCCGCTGCTCCCGGACCGCTGGGGAGCCATCCTGCAAGCCGCTGGCTTGAAGACAGATGGTTGCCTGCTACTACCCCCAAGTAAGCCCCTTCATCTCGTCTGCCTATTGTTATTTTCAAAATCGATCTGTTAACCTGATAATTGGTTCTGCTAACAAAAAACACATGGGAACGAAAAACTGTAGAAGTTTAACACATTTTCAAGCAGCCACCACGCAGCCAGGTAGGCTGCTTGAAGCTGAGGAGTGATGTGCTCCGTCGGCCACAAAACCAGCTTGGTGCCTGGTGTTGGCACTATCTTATAACTATTATGCCTAGCTATTAAGAAATCATTTTATTTTGTTTTATTCCTTAGCAGGCATAAAGTTATTATGAGTTATTTCTCCAGAAGTTCCCAGAGGCATCAGAGAAGATCTCCTAACAGAAGGCATTGTAGAGACATGTAGGAAAGACACAATCTCTTCCCTAGGGAAGAAGTTGCAAGAGATATGAAACAAAGGAAGATAAAACAGAGAACTCCTAACCCTGGCTGAGTGCCCCGTCTCTGCAGTGGAGCTCTGTTCTCCATTGGTAAGTGCAGGAGAAATTACTTATCTATGTCCTTACTCTACCTACGAGATGAACACAAGATTACAGTCTTATCTCTTGCACAATTCACGTCATGTAGTGCAGCTTGATCAAGAGCAGTCAATGAAAATACGCTGTTTCTCATTACCTGAGGTTCCTGGAAAGTAGCATGAATATTATGTAAAAAGAAAGAAAAGACATAAGATGTTACATAATTCACCTTCGACTGATTTTGAGATCTCTTATGCGAGTTATTTCTTTACCTTGTGCTAACAGAAGAACCCAGGCCTCGCAATCGCTACCCAAAAAAGCCCTTTGATTCACTTAAAATCAACAGCTTTGCTCATGCGAGCAATCAGGTGGAGGACTGTGCCCGAGCGACCCGGAAGGCAAAGGCAGTATATTGGGACATCTGCAAAACAGCTTCTCATCGTCCAGGGAGTCTTTCAGTTTGGGAGGCCTTTTTTCCATGAGGAAAAAAAAGCACAAAAGAGGAAAAGGATGTGGTCCTGACATCCGCACTACCCAGCATTAGGAATGTTTTATTTGCACAGTGCCGGTCTGCTCCCATGGACTAACGGCCCATTTCCACCTGAGGGACTTCTGTTGTGCTCCTGGCGCACACGCTCCTCTTGAGCTTCATCCAAAGGGATTCAGTTCATGAGCTCCATGGCAGTAACCACACCGAAGTAAGCAAGAATAACTTGAAGATTTGCTCCAAAAGCATGCTTCTCATCCAAACTAAAACACTACTGTAGGTGCACCCTAAGACCAAGTGTTATCACTTACCTAGCACATCCGAAGACCAAGTATTATTACTTATCCAGCTGTTACACCACTAGATTCCATTTATGAAATATATTTGTAAATGCTTTGAATATGTTCTGCCTGACAGCATACAGGTACTCTTTTCAATGAATTTTAAAAAAATCCTTTTTATTTTGGAATCTGGATTCAGAATCTGGCATTTGTTAACCAAAGATGATTAAATGTCTTGTCCTCTATGTTTAATGGGTCTAATTTTTTCCTCAGACAGTTTCCTTCATTAAAATATTGCGCTTTCCTGATGAAACTGATATTTTAAAAAATACATTATTACAAAATGCTTAGAGCAATTTTCAAGAAGAAAGGAATGACAGATAACAGCTGAACGGTATGAAAAAAATTCTTATTGTGGCTATTGCACCTACTTGAGACTCCGGACCACCAGCAGATTTACACATACGCATCACTAAGCACACACTTCCACAGTGTTGATGGCACGCATTGTCCAACAAGAACCGAACCGCACTTCAGTGCTCCACAAAATCACACAGGAGGATGGAAAGGGCCCAAGTCAGCTCCACGTACACTACTTAAGTAGACCAAATTATATCAGAGATGAATTTGTACCATTTTCTAATTTATTTTTCTGTCTGTAAAAATGAGATGTGTAGGTTTGTATGATAATGGTGCTGCAGAAGGAATCCAGAATCAACATCTACGTAAGTATTTAACTAACACGAACAGTTTGATCAGGCCAAATAACTCATCTGTCCTCCCTTTTGTGAAATCCAATCTTTGTTTGCATAGCTAATATCCTCCTGAGTAGCCATAAGCCCCATCTTTTGTGTGTCAGTAGGTTTTAGGAAATGTTGAATCAGTTTGCAAGAGTGCATAGATACAATTCCACGACAACCCTCTATGTGTCCTCCACAAAAGTCACACATAGGAAAATCTAAGTTCTGCCCCTGGAAAGAAATGCTAAGGGAGGGTTCCTACATAATTCTTCTCTCTTTCTGTAATAATTTTTCTCTCTCTAAGCATTTTTAAAGTGGCAAGATTAAATTTGTTTGCTTTTCTGGAGGCAGAAAATCGCTGAGGGTTCTACTCTTAATTTTTGACTTTATAAAAAAAAATACATTGCTGATTTCATAATGTGATTTCTAAAATTATAATATTCTTTATACATATATTTCAACCAACCACAATCTCTTTAAAAAAATTAGTAACTGTATGTGCAGTCAGGCAAAACATTTAAAAAATAAATTCAGAAAATTTAAACAACAGTTTCAGAGAACTTTTGAGCAGAATAGCGTGTATCTGCAACTTCCACCAAACTTGACATGGAAAGTATGATTCTGATACCACCATTTTGAAGCTCTCTCACTTGAAAACAGAAACCTAGGAATCCTGACATATATACTCTATTACAAGCAAATCCTGCTTTTTATACAAATCCGTGAAAGTAGCTGTCACAAATTTCAAATATGATTAAAGATCAAGTATCTGAAGGCAGAAGTTTGGACCTTGTGATTCTTCATTCTGATAAATTGTGGTAACTCACGATATTTCAGAATAACTATAGGTATTTCTCAGACATACACTGGAGACCACGTTTTAAGTTCTCTGAGAGAATTTAAAATTTCGGTCTTACTGAATGCATTGGAAAAATATGACTGACAATAATCCAAAAAATGGAATAGAATTGTATACTTAAAAGCATTCATGGGTTCAAAGAAAGATAAAAATGAGGGCCAGAGCTACCTCACTGTGCTATCTTAAGCAGTCTAGAACAATAATAAGAAGCTGTTCTTTCAGCAGGTCTTCAGTATATTGCTCCTGGGAAGGAATGTGAGGACCATCTTTCCCCCAGCACGCTTAAGCTTTCAGTTCCAAATTGAAAGAAAAGTTAGAAAATGTGTTATAGGAAAACAGGTTTATGCATGTGGGTTTTGACATCACCTTGGATCCCGCTGAACCTTGTGCAGATGTTTACACGTTTTCATTAATTTTTAAATAAACTACAACATCTGTCTCTTTTTCATAATATTTGGCTTTTACACAACCAAAGATAACAGAGTGTGCTCACATGATGTAATGTGTCATAACTCCACTGTGCTCCTCACAAGAGAGGTGACGGCAATCAAATAAGAATCTGGCCCTTTATTTGAACAAACTTCATGTAATTGTTTTTTGATCTAAAATTACTCTCTGTTAAAAGAAATTCATTAAATTCCTAAATAAAAGTAGAAACTTGATGGAACATGCTTTCAGACAATTTTACTCAGTCTTTGCCAGAAATATTTACAGACAGAAATAATTTTCAACCTCATTTTCTTAAGGCAGAGAGGACGTCGGAGAAGAGAAAGAAAGGGGCTCTCTCACTGCAGGTGCCAGTTGTCAGGGCGCACATCCACACACACTTGACCCATGTTTGTGAAGACAGACAAGAGGTCTTGTGTTCACTCCAGTAAATAGTGAAAAAAATTCTGAAAGTGCAAGAATTGATTTGAAGAGTAATCGTTACCTGAGCTCCTCTAAATTTGCTCAGAGTCACTCACCTTTGTCACATGATGCTTTTCATGTTGTACAGGAATCTTAAACATTTGGCACCAATATGTTGTATCCTTGTCTGGTACAGGCACCTGTCTTAATAAAAAGGGCAAGAACACAATATTATAAAAGTCAGATTACCCTGTTGCATAAACCCAAATCTTTGGCTGCCACCTTATCCCCACCTCCACATAATCCCGAAACCCGGAGTAACTTACGTCTTTGTTTGTCAAGTCAAAGTACGGCAAAGAGGCAGATAAGACTTCTTCTTTCTCAGGATTCAGTAAACGTAGACTCTTTGTACCACGATTAGACCCATGGTAATTTTGACCTGCTTCTCCCATGTCTTTGTGGTGGTAGGCCCATATTACCCGCACTGTGCTCTCCTGAAAAAAAAAAAAACAACCAACCACCTAACCAAAACGTCCATAAGGAATAGGAACAGTATCTTCCTTACACAGTTCACACAATTCCTACGATGGGTATGATGCACTGTATTTGAACAATGACAGTGTATACTAGAGGAGTAGTCACCTACTGACACAATTTTGCCTTTAAAATCAATGTTTTAAACTCATAGGGTTCATTGGAGAGATGCAAAAGTTGAACCTCTCTCTGACAGATTCCTTCATTAATGTTGTGAATTTTAATCATATCTGCAAACAGCGGAATGGCCTCATAAAGAGGTAACCAACTTAAACACATGAAACCTTTTTTTCCTTCACTTATTTGGTCAGCAATCGGGAGGTTTCCCCTAAAACCATCTTCCAGGCTCAGCTCTGTAAAGATGTGAATAATTCTGTGAACTGCTGTCCTCACATGCTAGGGAAGATAGACATTCAATTACAGAACTAATTTACATCTTAAAAATCAATCTACAGCCATAGCACAGATCAATTCCACGTTAACCACTATATATTATTGCCAGATTGCAATAATCAGCCTTGAGACAAGGTACTCTAATAAATCCTGAAGTGTCCCAGAATGCTAAATTATACTGAGAATTTGGAGCAGGTGCGAAAACCATAGATCCATTGACTGCCTGGAAATCTGGTGGTTTATAGAGCTGTGGATTTGCTTCCTGCATCTTTCAGCTCCTCCTGTTGTTATTAGTGTGTATATTGTGAAAACAGATAATGAAATTAGTGTTAAACTACTATATCAAGACTACCAAGTAGAGGAACGAAATTAAAATGTAAGAGCTTAATAAAAGTAGCGTAAGTGTTTTACCTACTTGATTTAAGGTGACCAAACAGATGTTTTGGAAAGTGAGTTTCTCTAATTCTTTCCTTTCACTAAGGTGGTATTTTAATAACCATCTTCATAACCATGTATACATTTGGCCTCTATTAATTACGTCATCTCTCTACATACAGGCAGAGACTCTTACCGTTATGCTCTTGTCATTTGTGTCACAAGTGTGCAGTTCTCTGCTAAAAGCCAATATTGTATGTGTGCTGTTTTCCATGGCATATTCCAGGTGGTAATCCTGTTGAGGGTCCTTTTTTAGTACTCTATTTTCATCTGTAAAATAATCCTGTTGAAAAGAAAAGGTGGCCCATTGTTAAAATTTAATATTAAATTAAAAATTAAACTTTATGTCCAGTACTGAAGCCCCTTAAAACACGCCTTTATGTAAAATGCTGAAGTATCATAGTTTTGTATCAAATGATAAATTTGAGGTGGCACTGAACACTGGTTTGATTAAAGACCTTCAAAAAAGCGAGTCTCCTTGATGAGCAGCTTAAAGAATGTCCTGAGCAACTTTAACAACACGTTGCCTGGTCCTAACTGCAGAAATAAAAGCTGTACTCAACAACCCAGAAGTCTAATTTATCATGACAGGGGTGTCGTGAACTTCGGGGGAAATTACCGAGAGAACGGATTTCACTTAATATTCACATCAACAATATAGTCGTTCCCCCTTTTCCCAACTTTTCCTTTCTTTTTCCTTCCCCACAAAAAGCAAACCTCTTGAATGAACACCGACTGGAACCAGAAACCCTACGGCTTAACGAGCCCGGAAAGCGCTCAGTTCGTACAAAAGGTGCCGGGTTGGGGTTAGCTCGGCGTTTTGGAGGGCGAGCGCTGTTCATGAGACAGACGCTCCCCGGCTGGGGCTCAGCACCGGCGCGGGACAATGAGGAGCGGCTGCAGCGCTGACGGGTCATTAACCTCCTCACC